GGCATTAGTCTACCCCAGACCTACCAGGAGGTGTCAGGAACTGAACCCAGGACCTTTTGCATGGAGTGCCCTACTTCTGAGTTGCAGCTCTTCCACTCAGTGGGCAGCATAATTGTTACCCAAGTTTACAATATTATCTGAGTTGTCCCTGCAGGTACCGGTGCTAACAATATGTCTGTCTGAAATGTTTGCTAGTCAGAATAGATCCTACTGGACTAGATAGGGGTGGCCAGGCTGCTTTTTGGCTCTGCAAAACTGTGCCAGGAGAGAATGCTCTTGTGTCAGGTGTGAGATACATGGGTATGGTTGGTGGAACAAGGCCTTGTGGGCCAAATTCAAACTCTTGGTGGGCCAAGTTTCATCTGTGGGTTGGAGGTTCCTTGCTCCTGATATAGACTAGTTGTCTAGCACAGTATAAAGCAGCTTTGTAGGATCACAATACTGTAGAGTTGTGGGTTTTTCAATTCTGCAGACATTGATTAGGTCTGGGCCAAGTCTACAAAGGTAGAATGAGCCCCAAGTTCTCCAGTGGAAAGGTGTTTTGGATTTCCACAAGCAAAAAGCCAGAAGGTTAAGCAATTGTATTTGTTTTATTTAGTAAAACAAGTTATACCCCCATCATTCCAGTATAAAATAGCATTCAGAGCAACCAGTAACACCCCCCTAAAATATAACACAAACATAAACAATTCAAATGTTATACAGTCATACCTCGGGTTACAGCCACTTCAGGTTGCGTTTTTTCGGGTTGCGGACCGCTGAAACCCAGAAGTACTGAAACGGGTTACTTCCAGGTTTTGGCGGTCGTGCATGCACAGAAGTGCCGAATCGCAACCCGCACATGCGCAGACACGGGTTGCAAACGTGCATCTCGCATGGATCACATTCGCAATCCGAGCATCCACTGTACAAAACTGATAGGAAGATAGTACTGCCGATAGTTTAAATATCAGAGTGCTTCAAAAGTGCAGAGTCTCGGGAAAAGATGTACTTACAATGGATCACACCTGCCAAGAAGACTCATGAGACGAAACATTAGGAAATGGCCATATTTCTTAATATAACAGCTTGGAAGAACTGCAGACAGTTTAACCAATCAACCAAATTCAGAAAGTACAGGCAAGTGAGAATTTTAGTTAATTCTGGTAGAACAGCATCCCTTCAGATCCTTTAGCATGTCATACAGTTGCAGATGGTGACTCCCCAGCAAACTGGGCAGCAGCGGGGGGCTTGATTACTAGGTGAGCCTTGAATGTGAATTTCACACATGCATCTGGGTGCTACTGTCCAGCATTCACACAAAATGTGCATGTCAGGCCTTAAAGGACATCCCCATAAGTCCCACCAGTCCTGCTGCCTGGCAGATCACTAAAGGGTATCCTTAACCCAATAATGCCTCAGTGAACCTGCTGTTTCTCTCCCCAACCACCTCACCTGCCCACACTCCTTATACAAAGGTTGAAGAGCTTGGGATGAAGATCCATCAGGCCCCCCACATGGTCCTCCCCTCAACCTTCTCCCTTTGGGAGTGTTTTCCTTGAGGAAGGAGAAAAACAAATGCACACCTGCTACAAGAATAATATTCCTTCTGCTTATTGGTTTCTATCTCCATATAGCAGTGGTTCCCAATTAGCTAAGTACTGCAGACCCCCTGTTTTTCAAAAGCCAAGCCATGGACCTCCTGCTTTTGAAAATTTTGTTATCTCTATGGTAGTTTTTGTTATGTGAATGGTGCCACAGACCCCCTTGGGTGGGTTACAAGGCCCCGCTGTGGTCCACGGATCACCAGTTGGGAACCACTTCTGCTATACAGTATTATTCAGTTTTCAAACACTGGTAAAACCTGCAGCTGATTCCATGCAGTGGGACACAGGCCCATGTGCCTACTTCCTACTGCACCTTGGAAGTGGATTGTGCAAACTCAAAGCCCCAAGTTGCTCAATAAAAGATGGAGAGCCAGACAGTGGCCACCATCTACCCAACCAACACTTTTTATTGCGATTATTTACATGAATCAGAACAGTTTGTGTCGGATAGATTTGCATCGCATCTGAAACTTTGCATATCTCTTTCTGTGGTGGCAGCGGTGGCAACAGCGTTATTGCCAACACTGCCTCAAAGCCTCTGTTAAGAGCTGTTCTGAAGGCATTTTTCAGTTTTTCTGCTGCAGCAAAGCAGCTTATTTTCCTTTGCAGGAGCATGAAAGGCTGCCGTGAAATGCAAGACTATTAATATTTCAAAGTGTTCTGGTGACATAATAAATCAAGAAAGTGAGCCTTGTGTGTTTTCTGATGTTGCCAGAAACTCTAGAAGTATTTATAGCCATGTTCACACTTGAGTGTTTTATCATATAAAGAACATTGATCTAAATATAAATTAAAATGATAAAAAGCTATAAAAATGCAAAACAAAGCATTGCTCTCCCTAGTCGATAAAAGTTCTCCTTATTCCAGTCTCTCTAGGCCCCTCCTTCTGCTCATCACTCCTTTGCCTTTTGCTTGTAATTTATAATTCTCAGCTTCCTCTTTTAGTGTCATGTCTAATGTTCCATAGGTTTGATTTGTAGTGATCCACTCAAACAGAGTAAAGCTTTTGTTTGTTGTAAAATGCAACCAGTATGAGGCAAGTTTGTGTGTGGTTTCCTTCTCTGCGCTATTCTCTCTGCAGATTCACATTTCTTGTTCCTGCCTGAGGGGATGGATTTGAGTTAGATTATCTTTAAGGCACCTTCAACGCTGTGCTTTGCTTCCTCTTAGACATTTCAAGTGCATCTCAGCAACAGTAGCAAGGCTTCTAGGATCTCTACTCCTAGATCTTGTCGTTAAGCAGGCTTATTGTGAAAATAAAACATCATGCTTCATGTGATGCTTGCAAGCGTGTGTGTGTGTGTGTGTGTATTTGTGGAGATCCATGTATTGCAGTTTACACCTGACAAAGTAAGCTGTATCCTATCAAATCTCATGCCTGGATAACGTCAACAGTCTTTACAATTTACAGACTTTACAAGGTTAGAACCTTTTGGCAATTTACAACTGCAACGTTAGAGCTTTTTGGAAATTCTACCACACGGGTAAAAGTATATTTCTGGATTCCTTCTCAAGTCTGTTTTGTGCAATGACTGCAAACAGCTGCTCTCCCTTTTCAGTTTCCCTACAAATTATTTACTTATTGCATTCACGTCCCACCTTTTTCTGTGAGGAGCTCAAGATGATGCACATGGTTCTCCCCATCGTCATGTAATCTCCACAACAAACACTGTGAGGTTAAGCTGAGAGGCAGTGACTGGCCCAAGGTCACCCAGTGAGCTTCATGGCCAAGGGGGAGATAACCTGTATCTCCCAGACTCTAACCACTGCACCTCACAGGCTCTCAGTAGCACCAAACATTTGGAAAATGGAGCCTTGACAGATTTTAGGACTAGTTGTGTATTTCAGTTTGAAATGGAACCTTTCCCCCCCCCACACACCTTATACTGTATATAATATCAAAGTCTCACATCAAATATGACTGATCTGTAGAAAGGACTTTATGATCTTAAAAAGTCATAGATAGATAGATAGATAGATAGATAGATAGATAGATAGTGTTAATCCCACAATTCTCTAAAAGGCTAAAACTCACAGAAAAGTTTGGGATCATTTCAGAACAATAACTTCTTAAGTTTTTTGGTGGTTGCTGATAATTTCAAAAGTTCAAGGATTTACTTTCTCCCTTCATATAAAAAGGATTACGTAGGCTCTTACATTGTCTAATGGCTTATATTCATTTAGTCCAGTTCCCAGTATCATCTGGAGGAAACCTGATGGTAGCCCATTGGCTAGAAAAATCCACACATCCAAAGGAATCCTTGAAATCCCAGACTTTCAGCAAGAAGATGAAGGCTCCTACGAATGCATTGCAGGAAACATTCGGGGAAGGAATGCTGCAAAAGGCCAGCTGCTTATATATGGTGAGAAAATTGAATTATTTCCAGATAGAATACCAGCACTATTGAGAAATACTACTTACACCCTTTGTTTAGTCCTCACAGGAAGAAATCAAGGACAAAAATAATAAAATGACTGGTGAGCTGAAATGTTGTTCAGAATTCAGTGAATATGAAATATTGTGCATCAGTGGTAGACTAAAAATGTAGCTCATAGCATCCTAGGGCTACAAAGGTAAATACAAAGAAAAATGGAGGGGGAAAGTGGTTTCATACATACAAAATATTAAGTGGCCGAGAGAAATTTTGTCATCTTCTCTTCCCCCCGTTAAGGGACAGGGTTGGCACTGTGGGTTAAACCACAGAGTCTAGGAGTTGCCTATCAGAAGGTCGGCGGTTTGAATCCCCGCAACGGGGTGAGCTCCTGTTGCTCGGTCCCAGCTCCTGCCCACCTAGCAGTTCAAAAGCACATCAAAGTGCAAGTAGATAAATAGGTACCACTCCGGCGGTAAGGTAAACGGTGTTTCCGTGTGCTGCTCTGGTTCTCCAGAAGCGGCTTAGTCATGCTGGCCACATGACCCGGAAGCTGTACCCTGGCTCCCTCGGCCAATAAAGCGAGATGAGCGCCGTAACCCCAGAGTCGGTCACGACTGGACCTAATGGTCAGGGGTCCCTTTACCTTTACCTTCCCCCCATTTATCCGTGACAGAGCTCCCTAACTTTGTGCCCAGCAGATTTTCAGGCTATAATTCCCATGACTCCTGACCATGGGCTATTCTGGTTGGGGATTATGGAAGTTGAGTTCCCCCAGACAGATAGAGGGCAACAGGTTGGGAGAGACAGGACTAAACAAGGAAGAAGATCCCAGTGGTTTGTGGTGAGGGTGGTGGGCTTTTTGGAAAAGGCACTGCCAGCACGTCCTTCTAGAAATAGGGAAGGTAAGCAAAGAATTAGGCAAAAAGGTGAGATATTTAGGGATATGGCTGACTGCAAGGAATCTTAATCTATTTCAAGATACAGGTAGGTAGCCGTGTTGGTCTTACGCAGTCAATATATATATATATATATTTTAAAATGTCCAGTAGCACCTTAGAGACCAACTAAGTTTGTTCTCAGTGCATGCACACGAAAGCTTATACCAAGAACAAACTTAGTTGGTCTCTAAGCTGCTACTGGACAATTTTTTTATTTCTTGATATGTTTTATTTCAAGATAATTATATAAAGATTTGGAAAGGTGGAGCGAAACCGGTACAAAATGGAAATAGAAACCTTGTGGCAGTGGACCTTTTATTGGTACCTGAGAAAATACCCACATTTGCCACCATTCAGAGCCACCCATGCTTAAAACAGTTCAGTGTTCGAAGCAAGGAAAAGAAGTGGATGGATTGATGATCGGGCTGGGCTGGGAGAAGAAGCTGGGAAATTATTGCAGGGGGCAGGGGATTCAGAAGAGCATTCATTTTTGTGTTTTCTGATTTTCTATTTCCACCCCACCCACTCCCAGCTTTATCTCAAGCCCCATTCCAAAGCTTTTGTCTACAGTCTATGGGTCAGGCTGATAGTTCCATAAAGCTCCATTACTGAACATAATAGCTCAGTTCATAGACCATGAGACTCTTATTCTCAGGGTTATGCGTTCGGACCCCAAGTTGGGCAAAAGATTCCTGCAATACAATTCAATGATTCTATGTAACCAATAAAAGACAATTGATGTATAGGAAATCACTTTGTATTCAAACCTTTAAAATTATGCTCTTTCCTTATACTCCAAAATTATGTTGCATATGCCAGAAAGCAAAGCTAAGGTCAAATGCTTGCAAAGAAGATACTTTCCAATTGTGTTTCTCCACAGGAAGGAGGATCTTTCAGTAGAGGGGTAATGAGACAAAAATCTAGGCGTAGGATGCAATTTTCATGAATCTCCCCTTTCCTTCTCAGTTATTAGACTATTCCTACCTATCATGCTGTTTAAAAGATTCCCCCAGCCTTATGGGGCAGATTCTGGAGGGCAGGGGGACTGCAAAGTGAAGGGAGATGAGCAAAAATCATACCCCTGCCTCATTCTGCTAACAGAAACCTCTGCTTGATCAAGGAACACATTATATCAGCAGGTGTCACAATGGGATACAACCCAGGGTAGCACACATTACAGCCTTAAAATACATTGAGACTGTTTTTTTGGTTTTTTTACCTTGCCGCATTTCATTTTGATTTTACAAATCCTAGTACACACGTCACATATGATGTGTTTCCACTCCATCTGGTGTTGGCACTTTCAGTAATCAAAATGAGTGAGTGAGACAGATTCCCCCTATTCTTGTTTGCGGAGATTAGCCTGCATCTCTCCCCTACCCCCTTCACTGCCTCCTCTTGTTTTAAAATGAATGAGATCCTAACCCACTTACAAGGGGCTGAATTTGAATTTAATGGGGCTGAATTCTAAGAAAACATGAAGGGGATTGTAGTGGACAGGCTGCAAGTGGTAGCTGGGTGGGAAGTGGGATGCTCCTCCATGATACATCCCAGTGGACTGTGGGTAATTGTGGGTGACGTTGTGTACATGGATTCAAAGACCAGGGTGAAAATGCACTGAAGTCAGAGTGAAGGGTAATGTGTGCATATGTCTTAGCATAGATTTCCTGGTTGCTGCCATTCCGAATGGGGTTTTAGGTTTTATTATGCTGTGTAAGGTAAAGGTCCATTAGGTCCAGTCGTGACCGACTCTGGGGTTGCGGCGCTCATCTCGCTCTATAGGCCGAGGGAGCCGGCGTACAACTTCCGGGTCATGTGACTAAGCCGCTTCTGGCAAACCAGAGCAGCGCACGGAAAAACCGTTTACCTTCCCGCTGGAGCGGTACCTATTTATCTATTTGCACTTTGATGTGCTTTCGAACTGCTAGGTTGGCAGGAGCAGGGACCGAGCAACAGGAGCTCACCCCGTCACGGGGATTCGAACCGCCGACCTTCTGATCGGCAAGTCCTAGACTCTGTGGTTTAACCCACAGTGCCACCCGCGTCTTTATTATACATTTAACAGTGGATTATGCTGTATATCCACTGTTAAATGTATATTTCTGTACTAATTCCTCATATAATACATAAATGTCACAGACAAAGAAAGTCAACAACAGAGAAATGACCACCTTCATAACACACAACATTTCTCCTGAAGAAGTAAACAGTAGGCTGTTCTGATAAGCTTATTTATTTGAATTTATGTTTTTAATTTGTCTCTTGTTCCAAGGCTTTAGGGTAAAGACACCTACAATAAAGTTACAATAATTTCGTGGTTTTTTCCCATTGATAACAGCACCCCCTGAATGGAATAAAAGCATTGAGAATGCCTCTCTCTCTCTTTATGACACATTGGTTTGGGAATGTGAAGCAACTGGGAAGCCAAGCCCCTCATATAGCTGGTTTAAAAATGGCCAGCCCCTTGCATCAGAGGTAAGATCTGGGGTTCATTTTGGCTTCAGCTCAAAATTTGTAACCAATTCTGCTTTTTGTCAAGCTTTCCTGCTTTTCTTTTGTCGCTTTGAAATTCTAACTCTCTTTTGAATCAATCAGCAACTGGTTCCATTGAGTGATTCCAAATTTTAGCATGACATAAAAAGGTGAACAATATCTCACCATCCACCATTTCCACTCCATGGTTTGAAGGAGAATGCCTAGTAGCACTGCAACAAAATATCTGTGTTGTGCACACCTTTATCAATCCAGAGTACAACGTCCATTCATTTGTCCATTGCTTTTTTATTTGTGGGTGATTATTTATCAGATTGGTTATATGGCTCAAAAGAAAAGCAGCTGAAAAGGATTGGGAAGTAGAGCTTCCATTTGAAATAAAATGCCTATGTTGATGTGTTTCACATTCATATGATTTTGTGGGTCGGTGGGTGGAAAATAGAGAGAGAGAGTAAGATTCACTCTAAGGACAGCAACAGCCTGCAGGTTGAACTAAGTATGCAGAAGATATTTGCAGCAAGCTTTGTGGAAGTAAAAAGTGGAGAAGTAATGGAATGTTGTTAATTAGATTGCTGTGTACCATCCATACAACCTGAGGCTGTGTCCTCATCAAATTTTTAAGCTAAGCAAGGTTGGGATGGGTCAATACTTGAGGGAGAATCCTCTAAGGGAAAACCAGAGTGATGAAGAATCGGTTTTAAAAAGATCAGTAGGAGTCACCCTTTCTTCAGCTATCCTACTCTCTCTCTCTCTCTCTCTCTCTCTCTCTTGATTGGCATCATCTTAAACCATTAAAAAACCCTGCAGTTATGCACATTTGATTCTTAACACATATGCCCAGAACCAGAGCTACACACATCATGATGATCACACAGACATCTTGTGCATTCAGTCCTTTCTATTCATTTCAACAGAAGGGAATGTTAGAAGTCTTTACTCACATCCCTCCACAAATTTGACACGTGTAAGAGACAGAGCCAGCCAACGTTATTATCATATTTCTTTATATCCCACCTTTCTCCCTGAAAGGGACTCAAGTTGGCATCCAGAGAAAAAATAGAAACAGCTTGAAAACATGGGGGAGGGGCAGGACCAATAGTTAGGAAACCAATAGTTAGAAAACAAACGTGTGTGAGAGAGAGGAGAGAGAGAGAGAGAGAGAGAGAGAGAGAGAGAGAGAGAGACGCTGGCCTTGACCCCAATGCCTGCATGTTTGGTGAATACAATCTCCACAAGTAAAGAGACAGGACTGTAACTCAGCGATAGAGCATCTGCTTTGCATGCAGAAGGTCCCAGGATCAATCCCTACTATCTCTAGGTAGTGTTGTGTGGGACTCCTGCCTGGAATCCTGCAGAACCGCTGCCTATCATTGTAGACCAGTGCTTCCCAAACTTGGGTCTCCAGCTGTTTTTGGACTATAGTTCCCATCATCCCTGACCACTGGTCTTGCTAGCTAGGGGTGATGGGAGTTGTAGTCCAAAAACAGCTGGAGAACCAAGTTTGGGAAACCCTGGTGTAGACAGTAATGAGCTAGATGGGCCAATGATCTGACTCGATATAAGGAAATTCCCAACATTCCTATATTTGGAGCCTGTGGAATTAGGGTGCTCACTGGCTTGGAGACACTACTTGTGTAGAGTGCAGAGAGATCAGCAGTGTGGGGGGGGCATTGGGGTTATATAACTGTTGCCTCATGCAAATCAATGAATTGAAAATATGCTTCGTCCTTATTTGTGTGTCGAGGTCCCCAAGCCACCCCCTAAATAAATCACACAGCAAAAGAGGCTGAAAAAATTACGTGCCAAGAATATATAACCTTTGGGCCAACCCTCTAAATGGTAACATCAAAATCTCCCCAACCACCCGACATGGCCCAATCACAGTCATGGCCATCCAAACGGTTCCACCCAGCAACCTAGAGGGGGTGTCTTGTTAGACCCCACCACAACACGTGCTCTCCATGAAGGAGAACACGCTTTCTCGAATGTGAAACCTGATGTAGCCAAACAGCACCATCCATGCACAAGAGGCAGATATCAGCACCCTTGATTTAGGGTGGGAAAACTATCAGAGCTTGAGCTCAGGGGCTATAGAATTCTGACTGACTGACAAAGAAGAATGAAACAGAAAACCAGGAAGATGGGAGATAGAATGGCGTATTCTAAAAGAAGCATGGCTAATAGTTTGGTTTAAAACTGTAAGAGCCTGCTGGAACAGGCCAATGGCCCATCTAGTCTAGCATCCTCTTCCCTCAGGGGCAGCCCAATGTCTGTGGAAACCTGCAAACAGAATTCAAGTACAAGACCCCTATGCCCTCCTGCAGCCTCCAGAAGCTGGTATTCAGAAACATCGGTGCCTCCGACTGGAACACTCCACAGTACCACAGTGGAAATACCACTTGCTCATATGTACGTGGGAGCTCTTGTATTCAGATAAGTTCAGAGTACACATCCAGACTTTCACACACAAAACTGATTACTGCATCAGCAGCAGTCAAAAGGCTATTGCATTTTTTGGCCAGCAAGTCTTTTAACACGTATAACAAAGCTATCATAACTCAGGCAACATACAGCAGATCCTCAAAGGATCCCCAATACAACCTGCAGCACCCCATGCCAACTCCCTAAAATATATTGAATCATGTCAGGAGTTCACTTGTACAAAGTGTCATCATACTCCCAGCCTTCCTCCTGATATAGAACCCAGGTTAAAAGGAATAATGCCTGGTATCTATGACGGAAATACAAGGTGGTGAACTGGAATTGTATTGGCAGCTGATTCAGGTAAATCTAACATGTCAGAGGGCAGTACTACAGGTGTGGCCCCTGGGGATTTGAATTTGGCAACCCTGACATACACAGACATATGCTCTTTCTTCACTCTAGCAGAGACAACTTCTCTTTCTCCTTAAACTAAATAAAATAAAACATTTTAAACATGGTTTTCATGGTATTAACATTGGCTTCCTTTCTTCCTTCTTTTTCTAGGAAAGATTTCAAATCGAAAATGGAACTCTTACTATAACTATGCTGAACATTTCAGACTCTGGCTTCTATCAGTGCGTTGCAGAAAACCAATACGATTCCATCTATTCCAATGCCGAGTTAAGAGTATTAGGTAAGTTAACTATTCCTTCAAATGGGAAGACCGGAATGATGTAAACAACTAAGTTCTGAGAATGAAAGTCATATCAGTCATGGAGAAGACAAGTCAAGAGGAAAGGCCCATGCATTTCAAAGCTAAAGAATGAAAACTCGTTAGTTCATTTTCTTTGAACTGCTATGCCACATATTTCTACACCCACTTTTCAATTTAACTTATTTCTAGTTTCAGCCCCTGATTTTTCCAAACATCCTGTGAAGAAAACGTCAGTTGTCCAAGTGGGAGGCCAAGTTGCAATTGGATGCAAGCCAGAGGCCTCTCCCAAGGCTGTCATTAGCTGGAAGAAAGGCACTGAAACGCTACGTCAAAGCAAAAGGTAACCCCTTTTTTGTTTATTTCTAAGTGATTAATGCTGGAACATTGTTTATCAAATCTTGGCAGGATCCAAGGAGCTACTGGGGCACCTGGAAGGAGCTTTCACTATTTCATTGATTTTTTTTACTCTTTTAAAAAAAACAAACGGCTGAAATCCATGTCATGTCACAAACCCCTCAAATATCAACAGCAGTGCCATGTGACATAGTGGGCTGCTGTTCATTAATAGAAAAAAAGTCTAAAGATCATTGGGTGTATCCGATGGTTGTTATTTTCTCCTGCAGGAGAAGCCTGGGAAGCAAAATCATTTCAAAAATGGTGAGATGATTGAAGAAATATGCCAAAATAAAATAGAGCTGCTGGATCAGATAAATTAAATGATACAAAATGATAATCTGATTGAAGTTGACTCTAGGTAATCTGGCTGTTGCATGTACAAGAGCATTCTAACTTTTATGTTTTTATTTATTAATCTATACACTGCTTTTATGCCAAAATGGCATAAATATTTTCTAAGTTGTATGTTTGTCAGTCTTACAGGGAAACATAAGCCTACTATTTTCACCTTTTAATATATTAGGTTAAATAAATCAGGTCATTGTTTCTTCAACCCAAATCCCACTCTTTAACTGGACAATGATAATTTTACCTAATGGTCCATCTTTTGGTATCTGAGGAGAAATGTATCCCCTTTACCTACAGGGGCCAGATATGTGTTGGAAATACAGATTTGGAAAACTTCTGAATTCTGAGTTTGATGGCTACTAAACACAAATAGGAGCCAGGAGCTCCAGCATCATCAGCAGAAAAGTACATCTCCCATGAGGATGTGCAGGAGAAAATTGCATGTGTCACCTCTTTTATTTCTCTCCCATGGTACATTGTCAAACAAGACAAACAGTAGAAGCTCTTTAACTAAAGTTAAGTGACTGAACTGGTGTTGTAACTGCTGCATTACACAACACTAACAAATAAAGACTATACACTGATTGCTAACAGATGTCCTATATGGGATATTAAAAGTGGTGCATAATGTTAAGCCAAAATATTTATTATCTGAAAAGTTTCACATGCATTTGAAATGTTCTACCAGTGTATTCAGCAGACAATTCTTCTGTTGTTTGGTTCATTTAGTTTGATGATATGCACTGTTAAGTAGCAAAAAATATTGAATCCTAATTTTGAACCACAGGGGACTTTCGTTCATAACTTCTGTATCACCAAATGACCCCATGTTTTAAATAGTTCAGAAAGTTGTTGGTGGTCTCCTAACCATACCTCAAGCCAGGGCTTTTTTCCAGCCATTGCTCATAGGAGCTCAGGTGGGTGCCATTGCCATTCTAACAGAACAAGAGAGAAGTTCATGGCACCTTTTTTCTAGAAAAACAGTAGTGTTTAAATCCTATTTTATAGGGGGATTAGTTTTGATGCCTCTCAAGCCTTTCCTCCCCTCTCTTTGAAAACTTCTTGAAGAAGTTCCACATTTGATATTAATGAGGCGTAACTAGGGGCTGGATGCTCTAATTTTGAAGGGAGGTTTTGGTTCTGGTTCTGTAATTAATTTTAATCTGATGGGAAATGTGCTTGATTGACAGACTTCTCAGAGATGAGTTTTTCTATCTCAAAATAGGTACGAGAGTTTTCAGCAATCCAAGCTGGTGTTGTGCATACTAAGAAATGAGTGTGACTTTAGAGAGACCTTAGGGAGAAACTCTAATCATACAGTTGTGGTAAAACTCATGTGGGAAGGTTCTCATGGCAGTACAGTGTCATGTGCAACTGTTTCCACTGTCGTTGCCTTTCAGTGGGGCTAGGTGGAACCTCAGGTAGAAAATTAAATCCCCCTACACAGTAAAGTCATGCTCTCTATTATAAAATTGAATATAATAAAGACAAAGGCCATATATGTCTTGGGGAGATGTACAAAAGTCCACAGAGCAGGCTTTAAACAAGAAGTGTTTTCTCATTCCCAGTTGATTAGCCTATTCCAGTGCTTCAGTTTGTCTTATGCTTTCTGTTTAGACAGATAAGAATGGTGTAGAATTGGAGGCGGAATGTAAATTTGGCAATAATTTGAAATATTTTAAATCATTTTGCAATAATAATTTTTAAACTGGTGCTTTAGCAATCTAAGTGAATAACAGTTTTGTTGTTGTAGCTCTGCATTTTGAAGCACCAGATTTAGACAGTGAAGTGGTTCGTACCACGGAGTATACCAAACTATGACTTATCAAGACAACATGAATGTGCAGACTCCTGGACAGTTGCTTGCTGCTGCTTCCCAGCCTTTCTTTACTCTTGCACAATGCTGAGCTAAGCCAACGTTTGGCTTAGCATGTCATCTGAATCTGGGCTGCTGGTTAAGCTCTAACTAACTAACTAAGTTAGCCCCTTGCTAACTAAAAATTCTATCCAAGAACACACCTTAAGATTGTTCTTCGGCTTACAGTGTCATACAAACCAGACCATAGTTATTACAACCTTCTTTAAGTAGTATCTGATACTGGTCATTCAGATCCTAGTTTTCTCTTATGTGAAACATTAAACCGACTTCTGTTCTGAATCTCAGTTGGAATCTTCATCTCATTTTTTTCCTCCTCACCCCCATCACCCAAGTCATCCTCCTACCTAAACATTGTATTACATCCTCATCAACCAGAAAGTTAATGTCCATTTTAATTTTTTTTAAAATAGACTTCTGTGGGCTTTGGCTTTTAGAGCCAAGACAATGGAAGACAATCAGGACAACGCAAGCTTTCGAAGACAGTTTCACCATAAAAGCAAAATAAATAAAAATTGATCTCTTCTCTTGATGACGTACTTGTATTACTTAGTGGAC